TGACTGATAATTAACACCTTTAAGCACTATTGGCCTAACTTCAGTGCTGGGTACAAAATCTTTAATGACTTAAACTTGCCCTAGGAGCATCCACCCACATAACTTTTAAGTAAAGTGTCAATTGATTAATTGAGTACCTTATTCTCGAGATAATTAGAATATCAGGTTCACTTAGCATAAGGTGTATTAACTCATTGCAACTAAAGCTAAAATTTGGGATGATCATTTGAACAATATAATAGGTTCAAATGAACTCAAAATATTTTAAAAGGGACTTAAAAGTTGTCGGAGATTGTTCCCCAAACAAATTTAGAACATGTTGGATGTTTTGAAGGATAATTGAACTCCTTATACTTTGTTCAGAAAATCATCCATTTAAACCCTTAGGGACTCTCCAAGTTAAGACTTAGAGTTTTGATAATTACACCTCTATCTACTCTTGCGATTTTTTTAATTTTTTGCAAAATTATATACATGTTGTAAAAGCTAATCTTTTAGCGGGAGCAGTGGGAAGATGACATATACACTTTTAGAGTGTTATTTATTTTTTGTCATTTTATTTACTGCAATATACTCTTGCTTTCAAACATTATACATGCTTGGTTGTGGTCCTTGTGGATGCCACTTAACCTGCAAAACAAAACAAATTTTCAAAATTAAATTAAATTCTTTCAAACGTAACCATAAATTCTTTGAAAAATAACTTAACATAACATGTTCTTTTGAATTTACGGGAGTTCCTCAGATGAGGTAGCCCACGATTGCTAACGAGATCTCCCGGGTTTAAATGGGTTTAACAACTCGTTTAAGCTAAGTAAATTCAAAAGAAAATAGAGATATCAAAATGAGGAAATCGTGGGATCCTAATCGATGTCGCTCTAATCAACTTTAACCCCCCCATAATGGTTGAACTTAAACTTTTCATTTAAACATGTTACCTTAGAATTTAGGACTGCTACTTCATTGATGAGCTTAGAGCTAACTCTGTGGGTAGCCTTCTACAACAGCATGAGGATCTACAACAGCACGAGGATCTACAACAGTACATCTTTCCTTAGAATAAACAATAAGTCATAGGATTTTGAGGTTGTTTGTCTAGTGCAACATAAATCCTCACTTTATCTTGAGGCCTTTGCACAAACATGTTGTACAATTTAAGCCCTAACATATTTTCGGATTCTAAGGTTGTCGTTCGTCACGACCTAAACCCTCACATACTCAAGGCTATTTGTGCGACTGTCTCACACAAATGTAAGTCTGAACTAATAAAATTGGCAAGATGAAACATTCGATAATTTTCCCCCGAAATTGAAGCCAAACCATAAGATAGCTTGGGAAGTCATTGAAGTTCTCATCAGGTTCCATGACATCCCATAGTTCTTCTTCCTTTGGATTCCAAAATAAATGTTTCAAATTTGAGCATGTCTCATTTCACACCTCTTTGTCCAATCTTTGAAAAGTCATATTCCTTTGAAATCTTGGAGACAATATTTTCTGATCTAAATCAATAGTTTTCTTAAGTGACTTCGGTTATTTAAGATGTAATCGACTATAGGGGCATGTCTCTATAGGGAGCTTTAAGAACTCAGGTAATATAAACCCTATCTAATCATTCATATTAGATAAGAGAACTTGTCGGTCAGTATAAAAGTTCGCAAACCCTACGGATGTCATAAATTCTGTAGTTTATTTAATCGAGCCTCATTATCAAGTGATTTTTCTTTTCCTCGAAGTAGATATGTTATTTGTAGTGTTGTACTTGTTTATTTAAACTAATATCTATATGAGATCGGTTCGATCTTGTATTTTCAAAAATTTAAAACCGAGTGTTGGGACATCCATTCCGGCGGCCGACAATTTCTAAAGCAAATGAGGATATGTCGCGTGGGATAGCTATTTTAGGGCCTTTGCAGCAAATTTCTGTCATATATGTGTCATAAAAAATCGACAAAACTAAGTAAACTTGTTGCGTCGAACGAGCCGTGCAAATTCGATGCAAACTTCGACATAAATCCGACGGCCTTGAATAAAATCCAAGTTAACTGAAAATCTCACTCAAATCCATTCGATGCAAACATCGACATAAATCTGATGGCCTTGAATAACATCCAAGTTAACTGAAAATCTCACTCAAATCCGACGGTAATAATTGAGTCGAAAAATTTCCCACACAAATTCTGGTACTAATTATTAGCGTTTCTATAGTAATACTTAGCTCTTAGACCCCTCATCCACTTCAAAGCCACTCACTTGGGAAATAAAAGAAATGTTTATCCAAGAATGATAATTTTTTCATGGTAAAACTTTCAAAGCACATTTTGGAGCAATAACTCACTAATATTCGAATCACTTTTTGAATTGTCTGAAAAAGACATGTAATATATCTATTTATTAGATTCAAATATAGCTTCGTGCAGCACCCAAAATTCTATGACTATAAAGTTAAAGAGCCAAATTTACATAAAAGTTTATTCAAATTACAAAAATAAATGTGACCTTTTACTAGGAGTGTAAATGAGCCGAACACGTGCGAGCTAAGGCTCTGCTCATATTTGACTCGTTTATATTTCGAGCTAAAAAAATATGTTCGTATTCGGCCCGTTTGCTTAGCGAGCCGAACACGAGCCTGTCACAAACAAAGAATCGTTTTGACAACCTCAATCACGTAACCATAAGATGTTAAGAATTGGGGCAAGATTTGAAATATTATTGGAATCTAATTTAATAATTTTTATTCTATTTTCTTAATTAATACTTTTAATTGATTAAAAATCTTTGTAGCCTTGTAGTTAATTAATTTTTTTTAAAAAATATTACTCATTATATATATATATATATAATTGATTAGTAGTATTTCGAGCCAAAACGAGCCGAATACGGGCAAGTTCGGCTCGTTAACTTAGTGAACGAGTCGAACACGAGCTATTCGCGAACAACGAGCCGTTTTGACATCTCTACCTTTTACTACACGAAAGAAACTCAAAAGTGGGGTCCTTTTGCCCCACTAAGTCAACAAATTGGGTCCATGTGAAAAATGTCATCGTCAAATTTCTAAATTTGTTAGCATATTCTAAAAACTAAATAAAACATTAAGGGTCATATTGATTATCGTTGATACATAAATACATGATATTAATAAGCCTGCATAAAATATAAGTTATGACCCATACCATCATGATCATATTACGAATTGGTGTGGCAGTTGTTGGGTTTTGTTCAGCTGTGCCATTCTGTTGACATGATTTCTTTAAATTATTTTATATATCCGACTTATAAACTATAATTGTGTTAGAAAGTAGTTCGTATTTTCTATGAAATTAAGAATATGGAATTATAAAATAATAAAATGCATAAAATATAATACTTAATACATTCAAATGCTTTTCACTTTTTGTTAATAAAATTGATGATCATTGTATTCAAATTCTAAAATAATTACTTGCTTGCATAAGGTATTTATGCACCCATCATTAAATCCGCATTATAATATATATATATAAATT